TAACTTAGGCATTCTCTTCAAGTTGTTTTATGTCTTCTATAGACATTGAATTTAATCAATAAGCAACTCAATTATAATTTTTTCTTGTAACAATAAATAGGATCTCATCATCTCAAAGATCTTTTATTCTACTCTAGCCAAGCTAATCATTCCTAGTCACTACCCTAAAATTAAAAGACTTATAAAAAAGTTAGGAGACATATGAGGTAATCAAAAGGAAAAAGAAAGGTCAAGCAAAGATAGCTAAAAATACTTACGAGATCAATGAAAGAACAAGTTAGTATAATAGCAAATAGGCAAGAAAAATTCTAGGAAGTGTGAGAAAATAATGGTCTCAAGTGTATTTTATATAAGTGAAATCCAAATTGGATGGACGATATAGATTAAGCAACGCCATCGTATATGAACCAAGGACGACCTTTCAACTTCTCTATTCAAATTTAAAGAACTCCCTAAATTTTTAATTCTCACATGAACTTCTTTCTCCTCATTGATTACTAGTTTAAATGAATTAGCAACTAATCTATTCAAAAAATTATTTCAAGTGTCACATCAATCACATTACATAAGTAACGAAAATAAAGTATTTTGGTCGGATAGGCGATACTGCTTTAGCAAAGATTTTGCAAAAAATCACATCAAGTTTGCCATGAAAACTATTTCATTATTACTGAGTTACAAAAATCTTACAAAATTCACACTCAACTCTTAGCTCGACTTGATAAATAGCAGATTGACCTTTTAGTCATTTAATACCTCAAACTACTTGATAGGAAGATAAATTGTTATGGGCATTTTGGTAATAAGGGTATTATGAACTTTTTCCTTAGAGGGTGACTCATAAAAAAATAAGGGTAATTTAATCATTTTAACCTTGACATGACGAGCAAATTTGAAATCTAGGTGTTCACGTCAACTCAACCAACTCGACCTTCTACCTAAAGGCACATAAGAATGCTGATTTGGTATCTCTTGATCAAACTTCCACTTGTGAAGTCAAGTTTAACTAGTATTGTAAATCTCAAGCTCGATTTTCAAAGCTTAAGCCACCCAAGCTTTACACCCTTACCTTATAGGTATAAAAGCCTCCCTTACACCAAGTACAGGCACTCAATTTCTTTCTCTTTCTTATTAAGATTTTTATCATTCTCTTTCATTTTGAGCACTGATTTAAGCATTAGAGAAAAACGCTAAATAAATCTCCAACCTTTACTTTTAACCTTGTAATATCCAAGCCTAATTTCATACATTAATTAGTTAACCTAGCCCATATGTTAAAAAAAAATAGAAGATAAACTTTTTTAGTTTTCCTTCGATAGTTTATCTAAGAGAAAAAAAATAGAAAACTTAAAAAAAATGCTCAACAAGATGAATAGAAAAAGAGATAATGCAAACAATCCTAAAAATCATTGATTAAGGTAAGATTTTGCTTAAAACTCTTGGAATTTTCATATTTTATGCAATTTTTTATAAACCTAACTTATATTTTTATATCTTTTCAACTTCAAAAATATTCTAGCAATTTTCTGATGACAATTTGACAAATTATGAGTACCAATGAAAAGGTCTCTTCAAGACCTTTCTAATGTAATGTGTGGTACTTTATTTAGTTAAGTAATTTAGGAGACTTTAGTAGTTCAAATTTTTTATTTTTAAGTTTTTGATAATTATAGACATCCAACTTTGAATCATCGAAACTCCTTACTCCAATGGCATATTTGGTTGAACTTTAGATGCTTTTGATAATATGAAATGTGAACTTTCTAGTTATATAATTGGTTTGTTTAGATGATTTATAGATTAAGAGAATCAAAGCCCCAAATTAAGTTTCATGAATAAGAAATCCAGAAATCTGGGCTATTTGTGATAATTTGTCAAGTTTTAACCCTCAAAACTTAGGCTTTTAGAAATCATTTTTGTCGAAACAAAATTCTAAGCTGTAGTATTACATTCTTACTTTAAATTCATGCTTTTTTTGTCACTAGGAATCGTAGGATGCTCAAGATTTTGTTGCTTAAAGTAAGAAAAATGATCATAAAATGTGAAATTTTCATAATTTAAAAACTCTTGTTTTTAATTATTTTAAAAATTATTTTCGTCTAATATTTAATGTATTTAGTTAAAAATTACTTGAATTTTACTTATATTATTTTTAATGAATTTTTACTTATTTTAATATATTTTTACTTTGTTAATTTTATTTTATTAATATTGTTAAAATGCTATTAAATTATATTCATATTTACAAAAAAAATGATTACTATTAATTAAATGTTAAAAATTAAATATTTGTAAAAATTTATAGTGCTATTGATTTTTATGTTTTAATCATTAATTTCATATTTATATTCAATTCTAGACATTTTGCTATATTGAAAGAAAATTTGTTTTATATGCTGAAAGAAAATTTTTTCAAATAGTATCAAATTGTCGAAAAGGTCGCCACACAACCCAATTTGTTTAGAATGACCCATGAAAGGTTTGCTTTCGTTAAATTTATGTTTTTAGGTTAAATTTTGATCTTTGAGTATTTCTTGAATTATGAGGATATTAAGAGAATTGAGTGATTTGTTGCTTAAATTTTGGTTTAGTGTATCAAGTAAGTAATTTGATATTTCTTCAATTTTTATGTCCTTAAAAATCAACCTCAATATATTTAGAATTGAAATGTATAATATATATTGTTTTATCCATTTGTTTTGTAAATCGGGTTGAGCATGCAAAAAATATATATGATTTCTTTATTATGAGTTTGAAATATGATTTGATATTATTTTGATTTTCGAATATGATTTTGTAATAATATATTGTTATATCCATCGTTTTTTGGAATATGAAATTTTGGTTTGGAATGATTATGAAATTTTACTTTGTATGGATTATGTTTTAAGAAAATTTATAAATATTGAATTTGTATATGTTGGGTAATCTGAAAATATATTTTGGCTTTTGTCTCCTAGTATGACTATATTTTGACCTTGTCAACTACGGTTAATTGTTGACCATATCAATATGTACTTTGTGATATCGATACCGGTTTTGAACCATGCCACTAATTAAGAATAATGATTTTTGTTTACCATGCCATGGATGATATACTTTTATCTCATTGCACTAAAGAAGTTATTGTGATTTTTGTTCTGTCCTATTCTACTAACGGGATAATTATGATTGTTAATGCAACAATCAAGTTACTTCTGATATATTTTTGTCCTATTGCACAAGAGAAAAATTTTTGATTCTGACCTATAACACACGGATTAAATGTGATCATAGTATGTTATGGGAGACTAAATAAATTTATAATTTTGTGATATTTGATTCCGTTTTGTGATCCAAGAATCTGGTTTTAAAAATATGTTTGTGAATATAGAATTACGCAAAATATTTTTAAATCATTTAGTTAATGTTTTGGCCTGAATGTTTTATGGCATGCTTAATCCAACTGAGATGATATCAGTTACTTGCTGAGTCATCGTACTCATTCTTTTATTTTTCTTTACTTTTTTAGATTTCAATATTTATGTCTTGAGAGACTTAATCTTGATAACTACTTGGATTAGCAAGATTAGCATCTGTCTTTAATATGGTATTACTTTCGAAATGAGTATTTTATTATTGATTCTAAAAGATTTGTTGATAAGAACTTTAGTATATTCAACCAACTTGCAAAGAGTATAATTTTGTAAGCTTGAGATTTTGTAAGGTATTATTTTAGATATTATTGGAGATTTTGATTTAATTTGATATCTGTTCTCTTACATGCTTGTGAAATTTGTCTCACGAGTATACAGTGTTATTATATTCTAAATCTTCGGGTTTGAAGCATAATAAACCTACCTCTAAGCTTATGATTTTAGGCTTTTAACCTTGTCCAATAGCTTGGCACGAACAATTGGGATACTTTGGATTCTATATTGAGGAGCAATTAAAGACTATCATTAGTATTCAATCTAAAGCACATAAGTTTTCTAGCATATTGATGTGCTAGTTCACCTATTGATAGGATTGATCATATGCCATTGCGCACACAAAGGTGCCCATGAATTCAAATAATACAAGTTTATGAGCAAGTGCTCAACGATTTGGTAATTTAAAATATGATTAAGTAATATAATATAAAAATAATATAAAAATATATAAAAATAACACGAATTAAAATTTTAATAAAAAATTATATATAAATTTTAAAAAATAATTTTATATTTTTTTATCAATATAAATTATGACGTATAATTTTTATATAAAGTACAATTTAAAATATAATTCAAATAGATAAATTGTTAATATCTTATACAATAAGAATATATAAAATGTGAAATCTAGTGACTGCTTTGTTTTATTAGTCACAGCTGGACCCGCCAATGTAACCATCGAAGGAACAGGTCAATTGAACTGTTCTATACAGAAAGTAAAACTACATATTTCAAGCAAGCTGGCCCAAGCTATGCCTTGGTTTATTTAGTTATTTATAAGATATCCAGTTGATGCGTCACTGCTATGAAAGTAGTCCATGTGGCTATGTTTGAAATAACCTACATTTTCTTCTTCTAACAACAGAGAAATCTAATCGCTAAAATAATAAAAGAATTATTAAATTTTATAATTTTATTTAGATAATTTCTTAAATTTTTTATTCAAATAATTCTTTAATTTTTAATTTACATTTAAATAAAATTTTAATATTTAATTTATATCCAAACAAACCTTTAAAGTTTTAATTTGTATTTAATTAAGTTCTTAAAATTCATCATTTCATTCGAAATAAGAATTTATTTGATACAAATTGAAATATAAAAATTTATTTGAATAAAATAAAAATATAAAAATTATTTTAAAAATGAAATAGTTCATAAATTTTTTAATATTTTAACCAAATCTAATTTTTCAAGCATTGAAAATAGGCCACCAAACTTAAAATACCGTGTGATTTCTATGAAAACAGGATACTTATAAACAACATAGAAATCACATTCTCATATTCAAGGCCTAAGATTTTTGGGTCAATATCAAAGCCCAAACTAAAAATAGAAAAATAAAAGAGAGAAAAGGAAACAAAATTAAAGCAAAACCCTGAGAAAACCCGGCTGTAAACCATGCTGAGCAGCGCCGGCAATAGGGTCTTGACATTTACATTTCAATTCTCCCCATCTCTCAAATTCTCAGCCAAAACCCACAAAGAGTTTCGACCCAGAAGCCATAACAGCTCAATCATGAACTCTGCTTTTCGTTCTTCTCCAAGAGAAGCTCAAGTAAATGATGCCCGATTCGGCGGCACCATCACATTGGAGGAATGGCAAGGATGGGGCTGCGTATCTCCAGTACCACCAATGGTAACCGAGGTCATTCAGGATTTGAAGCTTTTGGAGAATAATATTGATGCCCACATGGTTTTTGGTGGTAATGGTGGCAAATTACAGGTTCACCGTTCAACTTTTCTTTTTTAATTTTTCTGGCATTAATAATGTATACATTCGTATGTTTCCTTTGTTATTTAATTTGGATTTTTTTTTCTTGGATATCTAAAATATTGTTTTTTTTGCCATTTCATTTTTGACGTCTGAAATGGGAGAAATACTTTTATGTTTTTATTATGTTTCAAGGAATATAGCATTATGGCTGCCCGCGGTATATTCTTATGTGAAAATATAAGCTTTTTTTTTTCTACATTGCCTTATCATCTGGTATTTGGATCATGAATGATATTGCGCACAGAAAAGCCTATATATTTGCCTTGTTCCATGGATACCAAATGGGTTTAAGTCAATGTACTTCAATTTTAATTCCACTTAGGTAAATAAACGCAAATAGACTAGTCGTGATTTTTTCATGGTTTATAAATTTACCAATTATATATTTCCTTCAGTTTCTGCGGTGCCCCCTTTCTTCATTGGTGTTATCATCTTTCCTTTCTGTTATTGCTTTTTCTCATTGAGTCTTCTTACCTATGATTATTGTGTCATTTACTAGTTTTCTGTTATTGCATTTTCTTGCTTTTGGTCAATTGCGGTAAAAATCAGGGAGATTTTAAAATTCAGGAGGACAAGAAGCACAGAGCAAAATATCAGGCTTTGGGTGACTCAGAAAAAAAGTTCCAGTTCTTTTCTGCTCGACAAATAGCATGCCGGTTGCTTGGAAGTCGGGGCTACCTCTGCCAGAAGGTATTTGGTGGCTTTCAGAGCTATAATTGATCTGTTTCTGTGAAGAAAAACCGTTAGAAGTAATTTCCTTATCTTTTCATAATTTGATAATTAATTTGATTAATTTTCAGTGTTGGCTTCCTATGGAAGATTGTATGTGTTCAAACATCAAGCCTTGCTCACTATGGCACGGCATCAGGTTTTGGTTGTATATGCATCCAAAGGTTAGAATTTTCTTTTACCTTTTGATATAGTGATGCTCCTGATCCCTAGCATATTCCTTTTTATATCATCAAACATGTAATCTTCCTTTTTCAGGATTTTCTACGGCAGAACAACACTGGGAAGTTGTTATGGCAACTATTTGGTGTTCAAGCTGCAACTTTGTGTCTTTATGGTATTTCTGAAGATGAGAAAATCATGTGGAATGCATTTAAGGATGCGGGTTTGTTTTAGCCTTCTTCTAAAACAGTGAAATATTTCTGTATTGGTGGTTACATTATTTACAGAATCATGTGGTTGAGTTCTAAAGCTTATTTCAGAGCAGGTGGAGTTACTTTTGGTCCATTAGAAGTGTAATATAGTGAAAATGTCTTTTTTCTTGCTACTTGAGTATCCAAATTCTTTTCTTTCGTAATGTAATCATCTTTTAATGCAATTAAGAAAAAAAAAAAAAAAACTATCGTCAGCACTTTTTGACTGAGGGGAACATATATTTTGGTTTGCCTTCTTTATAGTGTTCTTTTGTGATTATGAATCAAGGACTATTGTGAGCTGTTATCCTTGTCTTGAAGATGCTATGCCTTCTAAAGTTTATTTTATCTAGTATTTTGGTATTAAAGAAAGGTCTTCCTAGTGAGTTTTGTCATGGTCTTTGCAATTTCAGGAAAAGCCAAGGTTTGGTGCCTTTATCCCAACCAGAATATAGTACCAAGGACAGTTCAGGATGCCTTTAGCTGCCAATCTTCAGCAGATCTGGAATGTACACTCTCGTCGGTTATGTCCTCTTACATGCTAAATCACTCTTTATACAGTTTGCTTGCTTTGCATTTTACTTTATGATATTTGAAAAGTAATGTGTTGACTTTGAAAGGATGGAGATTACTTCAGTAATGTCCTAAAGATCATATTTCACCACACGTTATAAAAAAATTTGCATGGAACTGGTTATTTTGGATACTATATAAATGTTTTGGATTCCAATTGCATTGTTATATATTAATAATATTTTCAAAGACAATTTCAATGTCAATTGCAGTGTTTGTGTTTGGTTCATTGTTTGGATTCTTTCCTGTCAATATGTTTGTCTGAAGTATCTTTTCTCCATATGTGGTAAAGTATTGGGGGAAGCCATGTGGTACTTTTGGGGTAAATAACTATGACAAGGGTAATATTTAAAGCTTACTGAGATTGTATCTCACCAGTGATTGAAACAACTTAAATTAGAAAAAGAAATAGTAGGCAAGTGCATAAAGCTCTTGCATTAACACATCTCAGGAAAAATTCAATATATTTACTTGTAATCGGTTACTCTCCTTTCAAATTATGTCAACTGGATGGTTTTCTTTTTTTTTTTTTGTAATTTTAATGTTGGTTTTGTTTCACAGACAACTAGAGATAGACCTCTGAATTTTGTTCTGATTGATGGTACATGGAGCAACTCTGCAGCAATGTTCAGGCGTCTAAAGGTATTCAATTAAGCATTTTATTTTCATTTGCTTTTGTCAATACATTTCATTTAGAGTTATGGATTATAGTATCATTAATTATTAAAATAAATGTCAACATTGACGCTATCTCTACTCTTTAGATGTCACAGAGATTTAGTCTTCATGATTGACCTATTGTAATAAATTTTTAAAAGATGGGGCTGGAAGTTCTGTAAAATGTGGGTAGAATTGCCTTTGCTTTTATGGTGCCTGCTCTGAAATCAAAATAAGGCATAGTTTTGCTGTTGTCTAATTGTAACCTGAACAGCTGAACCTATATTTTAAAAAACTTTCTTGGACTGCTAGTTGAGAAGTTGATAGAATGTTATTTATAGGAGCGAGCAAAGTTAGTATGGGGAGAGGAAGACCTTCCTTGCATATCTCTTGCCGCTGGTGCATCTGCAATGCATAAACTCCGGTAAATTGTAAACCAATTGCTTTTCATAGGCCTGTCAAATCCCATAGGCATCTGCTTCTTATTCTGATTCTTAAATCCATTTGCATCAGCTGAAGTATATAATAACCGTCTATGTTGTTTTGAGGTCAGACCTCAACCATCATGGGACCGAACTTGTACGGCAGCAGCAGCTATTGGTGTTCTTGAGGAGCTGCAGCTTCTTCCAGTGTGTAGCTCCCATGGATTGGATAAACAGGCTAAAGCAGTGGAGGATGCTTTAGTTGTTCTGCTAGAAGCACTGACAGCTCGACGCCTTCGGATGGGCAGGTCCATCACTCGTAAAGTAAGACACACTAGGAACATTTGTTAACAGCTAACATTTTTAATGATATAGGTGCTGGTGATCATTCAAGAAGGTGACCCAGTTATTCAGGTATGGATTTGTTATGTTTGATTGCAACAAATTTTTTTCCGTGATTGAGTGCTTTTCAAACTGGAGTGCAAGTGTTAATAGACATGAGATGCTAGGAACAAGCAAATCCAGTTTTTGTTCCGTTCCTTTCCCTGATACTTTTTCAAGTTTAAGTTCTCTCCTTAAATAAACGATTTTCTGAACATTAACTTGGGTTCTTCTCTTTTATAGGTTTCTTGCAACGATAACTACTAACAGATATAGTCAACCATCAAGTAACAAGCTGTGCCCTATTTGACTGCAAGGCTCTTCATATTGTTTTCCAAAATTTTTATACGGTGGTGTCTCAATTTCATTGTAGCCATGCCTACGTACCAGGCTTTATTCACAATCTTTAGGACATTTCTTACGGGCTTGACTGCCGATGGCAATATGGATATTGCTCTTTTCCTAATGGAAGAAGCATTACTTTGCTTCTCAGAGTCGTTCCAGACATTTACCTATAATCGCCTGTAACAAAATTTTAGAAGACAAACAAAACAATATTTGTTGAATCCTGCAACAAACTGAATTACTGTATTTTCTCATTTATTTTGTTGGCTTCCGGCGGAGCATAATTCAATTATACCTTGCCCGTCTTTCTCCCACAAAAGTATTTTCTTATAAAAGTTTTATTAACTAATAATAAAATCTTCTGATAGAACTTAAGCTCAAATGTTGAAAGCCTAACTATAAAAGGTCTTGTCATAAAATAAGACGAACTCCTAAATTTTTTGTCTGTAGATGACATTTTCACATCTAGATGCATATTTCAAATAATTTTTACGGCGAATTTTCACGCAACAACAAGTTTCATATGCCAACCACAACATGAGCGCGCAGCAAGTACCTAAACTTGTACGTGGTCGGATCTGGTTTGGCCAGTCATTCGAAAGTCTTGTTCATAGTTTGATCTGATCTCACCCCTCAAGTTTAAAAGGTTTGAATTTTTTTTAAAAAATATAGTAAAATATTTTTAAAATATGAAAATATTATTATTTTAAAATATATTTTAAAATTAAATAAAAAATAACATTTTGGATCAAGCTCAGATTTCAAAATTCATGTTTGTGGCTCTGCCTAGAAAGTATTTTCATTTTTTGCTGCAGAAAATGAAAAAAAAAAAAAAGAAGTTTCTGGCTTAGTTTTAATTAATTAATTAAAAGTGGAATGTAATTTTATTTTATTTTTGGTCAAGGTGGAACCAATAACCGTCAGCATACGTTTAAGTTTTTTCTGAAACGTAGGACTTTCAGTACATAATAAAACTTCTATCAGTTTCCACATGTGCACTAATTTCCGGTGGCCCTTCCTTCACGCAGTACCTATCCCCATTTTGTACCAGAGCCATCTTTGCTAGCTCGTGAGCTACCTTATTTGCCTCTCTACTGATGTGTTGGCATCTCCACCCATTGAGCTTGGTCAGCCCCGTTTTAACTTCATCTGTAATGGTCCCTGTAGGCGCCAGAGTTTTTCCCTTCTGCAAAATCTGGTTTATCCCGGTAAGCGCGTCACCTTCCAACTCAATTGTATGGAAGCCCATTTCCACTGCTAGCTGCACTGCTGCTGCCGCTGTATACGACTCGATCATACTCGCCTCGCTACATCCCTTGACTTGTTTGCAAGCAGCCCCCATAATGTCTCCCTGACAGTTGCGTTTCACCACCCCTATTCCTCCATTTCTTCTTCTTGTTTCTAAAGCCCCATCAAAATTTATCTCTATGGTGTTCTCACATGGTGCCTTCCAGCTCACCGGTTGTCTTTGTACCCTTCTTTGTTGACTCTCTGGTGCTTGCTGGAATTCCTCAATATAGCTTAGCGCAAAACGAGCTGTGAGTTGGCAGCTCTGCTGCGTTATCGATCACTGATTAATTCCTGCTATAACGGATTGCCCATGCTACTGCCACTAGTCTGTCTCTCTCTTCCGTGCTTGCTTGTGACATTGTTTTACCCATCCATTCTCTCATATCTTGCCAGTCATGTCCCACCACGAATCTAGAAAGTTCAGCTTCCCTCTACACTTCGTTTGCATGCATGCATGTAACCAAGGCGTGCTGGGGCACGTTCCTGCATCGATGATTTTCCTGTGTTTTAGATTAGCATATACTGGTAATATTTTCTGACATGCCCGCCGGCCAAAACCCCTAATCTTGTTTGGAACATTTGTCTTCCGAATTTTCGTCCACATCCCCGGCTCGCTATCATTACCGCTCCCCTATTGGATGCTGGTTCTTCTGTCTGGTCTTGATCCTCCAACGCCCTTAGTAGCTTGTACCCACTGCTCACACTATATTCCCCTTTACAGTTGTAGTGCCAAATAAGCTCATCTTGGCCCCCTATTTTGCTTATAGGGATTTGGACAATATTATTTGCTGTTTCCTCCATGAACAAGTTTGTTACCTTTCCCACGTCCCATTGTTTTGTTTCTGCATCAATAAGCTCATGGACCACGAACTCACAAGGTTGACCTTGGGCTTTTGGGATTGGAGTGAAGCTGCCTTCCCTCCGTATCCACGGGCCATGCCATATACGTATCTTCTCCCCATTACACACCCTTCACCTTAAGCCCTTCTGTGTTAGTTTTCAGCCTATGCATATACTCCTCCAAACGTACATACTCCTCCAAACGTACGAGGGATTGTTGCCCATTTCTGCATCCCAAAATGAGGTCCTTGGAAAATACTTCCCCTTTAACACTTTATAGATTAGAGAGGAGTTGTTTTGCAGTATCCTCCAACCTTGCCTAGCTAAGAAAGCTCTATTGAAAGGGTCAATATCTCTAAAACCCATGCCTCCAGCTACCTTGCTCATACACATTCTTCCCTATGATAGCCAAGGTATACCTGTCCCCTTCTTGTTTCTATTCCACCAATAGTAACTCATAATCATATTTAGCTCATGGTTTAGTCCCTTTGGTAGAAGAAAACATGACATGGCATTATATGAGATGGATTGCAACACAGCTTTTATAAGGACTTCCTACCTCCATTAGATATCCACCTTTGACTCTAGTGCTGTATCCTTTTTCGCATCCTGTCTGCTATTTCTCTGAAAGCTCTCCTTTTCACCTTCCCCACTATCATTGGGAGGCCTAGATATTTCTCAATGCTGAGTGTATCTGGATGCCAAACAATCTTTTCACAAGCTCTCTTTGGTTGTTACGAGTATTATTGTTGGAAAACAGACCTGATTTGTCATAATTAATCTTCTGTCCAGACCCATCCTCATATAACTTTAGTAAGTATTTCACCCTCTTGCCTTCAGCTTTATTTGCTCAGATGAATAGGAGGCTATCATCTGCAAAGAAAAGTGAGTGATATAGGGCCCAGATATACTAGCCTTCACTCCTCTCATCGGGGCCACCCTTCAAGGCTTCATCAAACAATGTTGATAGGCCTTCTATATAGATCAAAAACAAGTAAGGTGATAGAGGGTCCCCTTAATGGAGTCCCCTCTCGGGATAAAAAGAATCAGTTACCTTCCTATTGATCAACACATTGTATTGTACAATCTTAACACAGTGCATTATCAATGATATCCAACCTGAGCTGAAACCCATCTTTCCCATAATTGCTTCCACAAAACCCCATTCTACTCTATCATATGACTTGCTCATATCAAGTTTTAAGGCACCCCATCCCTCCTTCCCCTTTTTCCTATGCCGTAGCAAGTGCAGTAGTTCATATGCCACCACTATATTGTGCGTAATTAATCTGCCCGGGACAAAGGTGCTCTGCCTACCCTTTTTAATCTGCTTGCTAAAGTTTTCGCCACAATCTTGTAGAGCACATTGCAAAGACTGATTGGCCTATACTAGGTCATTTTCCTCGGATTATCGATTTTTGGGATGAGAATAATGTGTGTATTGTTTATTTCTTCCAACCCTCTTTCCTTATTTAGAACTGATAAGCATAAATGCATAACATCCTTACCAATTATGTGCCAGAATTTGTGAAAGAACAAGGCTGGTAAACCGTCTGGTCCAGGTGCCTTGGTGGGGTGGATTTTTTTGTTGCCTCGTATATTTCTTCCTCTGTAAAGACACTCACTAGTGATCTATTCATTTCCTCTGTTATGCATGGCTTGAGTGCATTCAAAATCCTTTCCACATTATGGCTACCTTGCGACTTGAAGATATCCTCGAAATATTTCAATACTATTCCTTCCACTTCCCTTTCTCCTTCCTACCCGTCCCCCTTGTCATCCTATAGACCAATTATTCGATTTTTCCTCCTTCTATGTGAAGCTTGGGCATGGAAGAAACTAGTGTTCTTATCCCCTGCTTGAAGCCAATTGACCCTAGCGCGCTATTACCAAAACGTCTCCTTTTTCTCCATGAGTTAGTTTAGTTGTTGCTTCACTTTTATCTCTTGTTGAATGGTCTCATCCCCGCCCCCTGGCGTTGAAGATCTTCCAATTCTTTGCTCATTTTCTCAATCTCCACGTGTATCTTACCAAACTTCCCTTTAGCCCGTTCGGTCATCCCCCCATTAGCACTCCCATTTTTTGTTTTATTCCCATCCCTCCATTCTTTTGCCAACACTCCTCCACCATCTGCATGCAGTTCGTTTCTTTGACCCACCAAGCTTCAAAATGTCTCTTCCTTGCTCGCTTGCTTTTCTGTTATGTAGCTCCATGTCCTTTAGTATTTACCATAATCGGGCAGTGATCCGAGACTGTGTCTGTCAAGTGACTGACCGTATAAGTCGAAAACATCTCAAACCATGTGTTGTTAGCCATAGCTTTATCTAGTCTTTCATGTACCCTGCTTTCTGCTGTGGTTCCCCTACTCCATGCAAAGGGTGTCCCTGTGAAACCCAGATCATTTAACCCAGTCTCCTCCAGCACGTTCCTAAAGTCTGCCATTTGCCATGCGGGTCTATTTGCACCTCCAACCTTCTCACTGTCCCATTATATTTCATTAAAATCTCCAAAGCAAAGCCAAGCTCGATGGTTGTTAACGGCCAGCGTCCTAAGCGTGTTCCATGCTTTGATTCTAGTTCTTATGTTTGGATCTCCATAAAAGCCAGTAAGGAACCATTCCCTCCCATCATCGTTCTCAATCACCACATCTATATGATACTTCAAGTAACTCTACATGTTCACCTACACCCTCTCTTTCCACATTAAAGCCAAGCCCCCACTTCTCCCATTCGCATCAACCCCAACTAAGCCCATCATTTTGCATTTCCTTCTGATGGTATCCAGCTTTTTCACCTAAGAGATGGTTTCGCTTAGGAAAAGCATCTCAGGATCTTCCTTCTTCAGCATTTTCTGAAAAGCTTGAACTGTTCGTGGGTTCCCAAGCCCACAACAATTCCATGCTATGCATGTCATGGGTTTCGACGAGATTGGAATCTAGTCTCCAGTATTGATCCGGGTGTTTCAACAAACACAGAAAATTCCCCATCTTGGTATATTCTGCTTTTCTTCTCCACCCCATCCACCTCCATATCTCGAGCTCCTCTAATCTCATATTTACATTTTCTTGCTTTTATCCGTTTCGAAGGTGTTTCATCCCTGGGTTCTCTCACCAACTTCTTCCACCTTGTTCTTTTCTCCTTCGTTTGGCTTTCTTTTACGTTGCATGGGTCCTCCTCAGTTATGGTATTTATAGTTCCCACAATTTCCCCTACATGGCTGGGTACACTACTGATAATTGTCTGAATTTCCTGGGTCTCTTAATGTGATCTTTGTAGGTTATTGAAACTTGGTCCATTGCAGTCTGTGGTTGTCCTTTTGCACTGCTGAACCAACATGTTATCCCCCTCTAAGCCCACCGTCCCATCCACATTTTGCCATACATCAAAAGAAAAACCAGCCTCTGTGTCCCACTGTGCCGTATATTTTGTGATCCCCATTTCCTATTTTCTCGCCTGTGGTTTCTTCTATACTCCCACGTGCTTCATAATCCCCCCATTATTCAAATTCCTTCCTTTACATGCATAGGCATTATCGTTTGAATGATTTTCGCCTTAACCTGGAGATTCAGCCCGCTTTCCCTGCCTCGAATTGGAGTCCAGACCCCTTACGCATTCCATCTCCAATCTCCGTATCAATTCGCCTCCATCCTCCACCCTCCACCTATTCTCTTGTCCGTAGCTTTTCTTTTTTCGCTCTCTTGTCATCAGAAATTGTACCCCCTTTTGTTACCTTGAAGCACTTTTCCCGTGCAGTCTCTTTATGCTTTAAAGGTGATGCTCTGAACCATGCCCCGTATTGTTTCCCATTTGTTTGGCCCTACTCCATTTGTGGGGCTCCGTCGCATTCATCTTCTATGTGCCCCATTCTACCACAATCGTAACAGAAACTTGGGAGCCTTTCATAGCTTAACCTTCCCCATACCTAGTTTAGGTCCCCTTTCGTGGCGACCGAAACGGCTCTCCGTAGCAGCTTCATAATATCTATCTCTACTCTGAGCCTAATGAATCTTGACCATCCTCCTTTGTCGAGGGTTGCCTCAACCTCTCTCAGTTCTGTAATTTTATTCCCAATCCTTGTAGCATGTTCATGGATCCTCATCCCTAAAAGCAAGCCATAAACCCTGACCTAGAACGAAGCAGTTTTGAAACTATAATCCTCTGGTCTTAAAATCCCATTATACTCCTGAAAAAGTATTATTTGCTTGTCGAAAGACCATCGTGCACCCTCCATTAGCCTTCTTTTATCCACCATTGTAGCAAACTTAAACAGCAAAATATCGCCTTCCAGCTCTACTATTTCAGCTTGTTTGGCCAATCGCCATAGGAGCCTTAGAGTTCTTTTCATTGCTTTCTTGTTATAAGGCCTCCTGGTGAGCAGCGTACCTACTAGCCATGTCTTACCCACTTCTGTTCCTCTTCCAATCCCCTCTGCGTTTGACACCACCTGGTCTTTCTCCTTCTCAGTTAATTTAAGGTTTTTCCACATCGATTCCATCACATCCTCCATTGTCCACTTCGTCCAAAAACTGTTCTCAAACTATAAGAACACTGACTACTGACTGTAAGACTATATCTACTAATCCCAGAAAGGTCGAAGAATATGACCCTCTGAGATACACGACTTTTACACCCAAGACAAGGCTTCTACTCTCCCATGGGAAACCCTAGAAAGACTAGCATATGTTTAAGTTAGTAACTAATAACATCAACATGCAATTGACTAGCATTTTTTTATTTCTAACTGTCATAAATACTATCCCAAAAGTTTTGCAATTTTTTCCTCTCCTACTCTTCTATTCTATTTGTTTGGTAAAGCCAACAAAAAGAAAATCTAGAGAGGAGAATAGAAAGGGACTTCGAGAGGAAAAGAAGAGAAGGAGACTTGCATCAGTGAGAGGATCATATTATTGGTCTCCAAGAAACAAAAGAAAGAAATGGGTTTAAATCAAAGCTTTATGTATTTTAATATTTTCTTTTTCCTTGTAGCTAGATTTGCCTCTTCTTCCACCTACATTTCAAGTAACTATCCCATTTCTTTTTTCTTGATTTTCCATTATTACACATACATGTTTGATTGAATTCTTCAACACACATGAATAATATTTCATTAAAAAAAATTTAATACATATTTTGATTCAACATGACATTGAGTATTATTTAATTTGCATGCAGATGGTACCTTTGAATGTCATGAATTCACCGGACATAACCTCCTTCAAGCTAAAAAATGTATGTCCTCTTAATTGAAGGGGAAAAAATAAAAAATCTTCCTGTCTGGAATTATCTTTATTTTCTAAATTCATCAATCAATGAGCTTGCATGTCTTTGTCGCTTTTTCCCCATTTCTTTAATTTTTCTCATTAAACTTGATATATAGCATCGACGCTTTTGATTTTATTATTTTCTGCTCCCCATATAGGCTATTCATTTTCTTCTATCTTTCGTCAAATATAGAGAACATATCTATAACTTATATTAAAAATAGTCCCCTGTCTGCAATTGAGTGTACAGATAAGTGATGTCTTAAAAAAGTTTGAAGGATCAATTGGGGCATAAATTGTTTTATTGTTTACCACTCTCTTTTCGGACTTCCTGCTAAAAGGCGACCAAGTTGAAACTGAAAACCTTGTTCCTCTGCAAAGTAGGTTCTCGATTCCTCAAAATCAACCAACCACTTCATCTTGCAAATCAAAGGTCAATTTTCCTTAATTTCCTTTTACAATTCCCTTTTAACTTTTAAGCATCTCCCTAATCAAAATTTAACCCTTTAAACCTGAATTTTTTCATCAATTTTGATTTCACTTCGCAATTGTTTTAGATTCTCGAAAATGACTCAAGATGTAGAGATGAAAAGCAAGCAGCTCCTTCCAATTCGCTTCTTCTCTTTCCAGTTTGCAACATAAGTTCAATCAATCAATAAAAAAGGGGGGAAATGAAGAGATGGATTGAAAAACAAAGCAGAAGCCTTTACACCTAACGGCGAAAAAAATTAAAAGGGAGAAAGGGGAAGGAGACAGAGAAAGGGAAAGAGAAGAAGGAAGCAAAAAAAAAAATCTAGAAAGAGAAGAAACTTCCTAGGTAACAGTGTATTTTTCATGCATTATTTTTTTTTTTAAGTTATGCTTTTTTTTTTTTTTTTTATTTGGGTTACTAATTGTTGGTTGTGAATTTATAAATGAACTAATGCTATTATAGCGGTGGACATTGTGTTTACTGGTGGAGGTAGCTCTTTTTCCTTTTTAATTACGATTTTTACATGTCAATACTATTCAAATTATTCTCAGTTCCTGGGTTTCTAGGACTATGTATTACATAACATTGGAGGCAATGGATAGTGACAAGTTGAAAATTTATGAAGTCCAGGTGTGGTAAAAGCCTTGGATGAATTTCAAAAAGTTGCAGGATTTCAAGCTTATTGGTGATGCCCCTGCCGTTTACACTGTCACCGCTTAAGGTAAAAGTCCACTTATTTTTATCAACGTCTATTGGTTCGAGTGGTAAAAAATTCAATTATTTTTAAATAAGATCTAAATTTCAAATCTGATAAATAGAAAAACAAGCCCAAGAGAACTTGCACTCTTTTATGGGGTTCGATCCGATTCGATTCCGAATTAGTTAAGGTTTAAAGTGATTATTAAACACCAAAGATCTTAGATAAAAAAAAAAAAAAAAAAGCCTACCTATTCTTAATTTTATTTTCATTTCTTACTCTAGAAGATTAAGAAAATTATGGATTATATTTTTTGAACCACTAAAATTGTATGCAATTATAAAATGTCATTTGTTCATGGTTGTAGGTGAAAAAACACAGTTATTCCATCTTACAATTACTGTTTGTTCACCCTAAACCAAGCAAGTCTTATTCCATTCTTAATAACACTGTTATCACCTCAACTTAACCTTTGCTACTATTCAACTGTTCCCTACTTGCATTGCAGATGGTAATAAATATAAAAGTGGAATTTATAAGATTAATTTTCAATGAGAGGATTCCTGTAGCTTGCTACTTGACAGAGCAAAGCTTTTAGAAAAACTGAGAGGCATGTCTAAAACTAAAACAACTTTCAGACAAATTGGTGAGGCTTATCAAACAGCACTAGGGATTTAATAAAATTTTGATAGCTTTTCAATCTACGTTTCTAATCTTTGGCATTGGTCCATAATTTTTTTATAGCATTGAAAATAAAATATACATTTCTAATCCATCTGCACTTTATATGGCAGCTAAAGCTGGGAATCCGTACTTCAAATTGGGTTACAACAACTTGGGAGCATTTGCTACAATCAGCCGCATGCATTTCCAGGTGTCTAACCTCCCAATTTGGTACGTCATGTACTTTGTGCCATTATGATATCTGTTAGATATAATTATGTACAATTTGAAAGAAAAAAGTTCTTTGAATTCTTGGTGGAGTTTTCATAGTAAAGATCGCTTTACTTCTGCTTCCGGCTTGCCAAAGTATTCCTATAAGTAAGTTAATTTCTAAATTTAGCACAGACATTATACTTAAGTAAAAGAATTAAAGAATATCAAAACCAATTCATGTTTGGAGGCTTACCAAATTCCAATCTCTTATTATGTTAGAAAGTAGCCTATGAATTTTAGCATAGCTCTCTTTTTAAATTTTATTTTACTTGAGTTGTGAAGAAAACTTGTGGTAATTATGACTTCCTTATACACTTTTTATAAAGGGGCTATCTAATCTTTAGAGTGGACTTGAACTGTTTCAGTTGCTACAAACCTAATATTTCATCCCTAATTGAGCTAAATGATCAATGTTCAATGTTTATTTCCAAAATGAGCATTTAATTTATTTATTCTGATATTGTGTTTATCTTGTTTTTTATGCTTTTCGGGGATGTTCAGAAAACTACATAAAATTTTACAACTATTTTAGGAAAAGGATCATTTGGTCTAGTCTATAAAGCCACAATGCTTATTGGTGGAATAGTAGTTGTAAAGGTGCTTGTTTCCAATTCTCATCAGGGGAGAAAGAGTTCCACATAGAGGTAAGCTGCAATAACCATGTAAGAAAGAGCTCTTCTAACAATTTTGGAGTAGGTAGTTTCCAGCATGATTTTCATCTTAAAGGTACTTGCCTTTGTTGATTTGACTATATGCAGGACTGGTATATATCAATTAGAAAAAAAAACACAAGTTTTGATTTTATCTTGTATGAATTTGAAAGTATTTTCGGCAAAGATCCATTAATGTATGACAGAATATCTTCGAGTAGCCCATGCGGACGGGAGAAATAGAGGATAATTCATAATATAACAGCTGCAACGTGTTTTTTTATTCTCATATATCTTTTATTATCCACCAATGATTCTATCTAGACAGCTGCTGAGGTTGCAACTCCATTCTTCCAATTGGTGGAATGAAATTTCTTTTGAGAATATTTTATATATTTTACTTCTAATAATCAACAAATCATGTTTTCATTTTTATTATTAAACCTAGGTTTTTTCAAGTTTGTCTACTAGGAAGGCTGCATCATCGAAATCTTGTGAACTTGGTAGGATATTGCGTGGATAAAGGAAAAGCACGAATAATTTTCTATATGATATTTGAGTGGACAAAGGAAAGCACATGTTAATTTAGGAAGGCTGCATCAACTTAGTTTTTTGGCCCCTGAGTTCTAATCCAAAATTGAAGGCTAACATGAATTGTTGCTTAAAGTTAAATATTAAAGTAGACTATAATCAACTTTTATTTTGCTTTTTTTATTATTATATTATGAAGAAATTGAAAAGAAAAAACAGCACTTGATTTTAATGAATTAAGCTATTAATTTATGTAAGGATATATTAATAAAACACAAAATTAATTATCTTTTGATTTTTAGAATGAAGTTATAAAACAAACAAACAATGGAGTGATAAGTATCATGCAAGTATGTGCCAAAGCCAAACTGTTAGAAGGTTGGTGTTCACATTATCTGATGCATAATATTGCAGAACACCAAAAGCCCTCTTATGATGAAAGCTGTTGCAGTGATAGTCAATTTGTCCAGACTAAGAGAATGACTGGTTGGGTTAGTAAATGCTACTAGCTTTCCAAATTCCTAATGAAAACACAATCTCAAAAGGAAAAAATGTCAAGATTCTAATTTTTCTTCTTGATTGCATAGATGCTCTTTGTTTAACTTTATAGAAAATTTGATAGGAAAAGGTGGTAGTGGTCAGTTTATAAAGGTTGGCTTCAAAACAACAAGGAACTCTTTGCAAAAATCCTAAAACTTTTTGAAGATGTATTGAAGGAGTTTGTTTTAAAAATTGAGATTATTACTACTTATATCCATCTTGGGTTTCTGCTATGAAGATAACAATCTACTATTGGTTTATGATATCTTATCCAAAGGAAGCCTTGAAGAAAATTTTCATGATAAGTAAATGCATAACATTTTTGCTTTGAGTTTAAAAAGAGATTAGAGGTTATAATGTTGCTTATAATATTCCTGGTGCTTTTGGTTAGAGTGAAAGATACAAGGTCCATTAGAGGTAGCAAAGGCTTTAGATTATCTCTATACTATCAAATGATTTTAAGACATAGGTGTCTATAAATTTTAACTTCTAAATCTTTTTGTTTTCAAATTTTAAAATTTTCCATAAAAAGATTTCCATGTATTCTGTTTGGTTTATGCAGCTCTCAAATTTTGCACTTGCTAAATGGGCATCAACATCTTCTTCACTTATAACATGCACAGATGTTGCAGCAACCTTTGGGTATATAATTTTCACATCCAGTGCTCTAGCTTACTGGTTTTTAATTGTATTCTTTCTTCCTGGTGCTTTTGGTTACAATGAAAGATACAAGGTTCACTACAGGTAGCAAAGGCCTTAGATTATCTCCATACTATCAAATGTTTCTTAGCCATAGGTATCTATAAATTTTAGGTTTCAAATCTTTTTGCTTTCAAATTTTAAAATTTTCTATAAAAAGATTTTCATGTATTCTGTCTGGTTTATGCAGCTCTCAAATTTTGCACTTGCTAAATGGGTATCAACATCTTCTTTACTTATAACCTGCACAGAACCTTTAGGTATGTAATTTTTGCTTTCAGTGCTCTAGCTTATTGGTTTTTAACTGTATTGTTTCTTTTCATGGGGTAATATAATGTACAAAAAATAAATTTCCTAAAGATTAATTTAGAAACAATTTAAAATTTTGTTGGGAAAGGGGTTGTTACAACTTATTGATTAATTAATAATATTACTATTTGCTCCAGTTATTTGGCTCTTAAATACTTCATTTATGTTAAAGTAAACAACAAACTTGATGCTTATGCATTTGGGATTGTGCTGATTGAGTTGCTTTTTGGAAGAAAGCCTATAAACAATGACTATCCAAAAGGTCAATAGATCTTGGTCATATAGGTATGTCCTTTTTTGGCAAGACACAATAAGTAAACAACTCATAAACTAACTTGCTAAGGATAAGGGCATAACACCACCAAAAGAACTAAACAATGTTATTGTAAGACACTGTTTATAGTGGCTCATTTTGGTTTTCTTTCTATCTGTTGGTACAAAGTCCATTTTGTAGAAGATTACGAGGTCCAATTGGGCAATTGAAATCTTTACACTTGATGCGAATTCTAGAGGATACTAAGCAAGTTAGATCACATTTTTAAATTTTACTGTTATATATGTTTCACGAGAGCGTAACTCATTTGGTGATAAACATTAGATTGCATATCTTCCACTCCAAAAGTCTTGCTAATATAGGTTTAAGTTGCTAACATTAAATGGTTAGAAGTTAGTTAGTGTAGTATTATATGGAGTTTTGAATTAGGAATTCATTTCTTTTATTTTTGGCTGTGGACTAAGATCATTAGTGTCTCCTTAAACCATCCTTTTAAATATATGATTATATCTTAAATTTTAAATTTAATTAGCTCTTTATATTTAAACTCTTAATATTACTTTAATTAACCTCTCTAATATTCAGTACTATGCATTTAGCATTAGATTATATATATATATATATATATATATATTTTACATTTTCTAACAATTCCCGATGTTTTACATTGTCTAACAATTCCTGTAACGAAGCACGGACTCTCACCCTAGTATAATCTTGTAAAACAAAATAAGAAGCATAAAACTCATGAAGTAACTTTGCCATTTCTTCAAGTATGCATTTTCTAATGACAGATATGTGTTATGAATAATATATACTGTTTAATTTGATCTCTTGAGTTTCACTATTTTACCCTTGAATGTTGAAAACACAACTCCCTTTAGAATAGGTTTGGCTTCTAGCTCTAAGTCAAGAAACTTAAAGTGGGATCTTAGGCTCTAAGTCAAGAAACTCATTGTCTCGAGTAAACTAATTTCAGCTAGGTGCTTTTCTTAATTAAAATTTGTCTTCAATTTGCACGAATCCTGCAGTAGAAAAAATAGTATTATATAGTCTTCATTGCTCGGCCTCACTCTTTAGAAGTATACAGACTATATTGAACATGCTTCTGAATTCTCTGAAGCATTGAAAAATAAACTGATATGATGTTTCACATGTCATAAACCTGCCTGCAACTTGTTCTGAAGATTTTGAGCACAAGAACTACACAATCATCACAAACAACTGCAGAGGACCTCAGCACCCAACCAAAGGTTGTTGTGAAGCTCTCATGGAATTTGCTTGCCCTTTCGCAGATAAACTAAATGACCTCAGCACTGATTGTGCTTCAACCATGTTCACTACATAAACTTGTATGGAAAATGCCCGCCTGGTATCTTTGCCAGTATGTGCTGCAAGGGGAAAGGTCTTGAATGTCCTGAACCAACTCCAAGTGGTATGGCGGTAACTAAGCCTAAATAGCTGATGCTCGCCTCTGGATTCCTAGTGTTGTTATTTCAGTTGTTGTGAAGCACATAAATGTGGATAATCAACCACTCTGCCTTTATTCATTGTTAATCCATTTTCTTCTTGTCTGAGTATATGATTCTTCCTAAGGGCTGGTTTTCGGGTGATATTTTCGTCTATCTTTTAAGTTCTGGTCGGTATTGTTTAATTAAAATATTCTAAGAGTGATTCTATGTAATCTGTTTGTTTGCGCATAAGTTAAATTCCTGTCTTGAGTGAAAAAGACAATGGTGTAAATTGATGTTGCATACAAACAGCACATATCAGATTGTCCCCCCTTTCCTTGCCACAAATTTAGGTGATTCATGCTGGACAAGATGTAGCTGTCATTCTCCAAGTTTTACCATTATGATCTTCAACCATAATCCAAACCTGCGTGAAGAGTGCCTTTCATCATCTGTATCCCTGCACTTATAAAGAAATGGGATTCCATCTTGACTTCAGCTCAATCCTTTAGGAGGCTTCAGGATAAGGTAATAATGGGCAAAGGATATGCACCAAAGAGTAGTCCTAATAACCATTATCTATCTTTTAAAGTGAAGAATTAAAAAAATAAATAAATAAATAAAGAGAAAGGGAAAGGAGGATCATATTTATATTGGATCACGTACATTCCCACTTTTTTGTTACTGCTCCTAACTTGATATGATGATATGATCATATTTTTATTGGATCATGTATATTCCCATTCTTTTGTCTGCCAATTATTGCAATTTATCGTTCTCTTTTCAATCTTTCCCCTCAAAGAGACCTTTAATTTGATCATATCATCATATTTTGAATCAACAGTCAAGTCAAATGAAACGACCTTCATTTAAAAGCTGCCATCGCTTCAATTAGAATTGCATCTTCTCTTCTTCTTTGATCCACAATCAAATTCCCATCAATCTAATTAATCCAGTTCAATCTCTACATGTCTTTAACTTGATAAGAATAGCAAGTCATTATTAAACAACATTTAACTATTTCTCTAACTTGGCAATTCGATCTAGTTGGTCCAAGTTCAATTCCATGCAAGGTTTTGAAAAGAAACGTTCAAATTTGGAAGAAGAAATAAATAAAAATAAACAGGTCGTGCCATGTTAATATTAATAGTCCAACCATTTGAAATAGTGATCAATGCAGAACAGCAGTTGCAAGAGACCCTCACCGTTGTGTCCATATCTATTGATACAGGTAAGTCATCTTTTTGGCAACCTATAAGAAACATAATTCATCAACCAAAAAAAAAAAAGAAAAGAAAAGAAAAAGACAAGACGTGCAAAAGAGCTGTGAAAGTTCCCGACCCCTCACTATTCACCGAAAGGAGCGACTCGGAAAAATCAACTTCGCAATCAAGATGAAAGGTAACACCGATAGCGGCAAAGCCACAGAAGAGTAATGTGAAAGCTAGTAGAATTTAGAAATGTCGAATCATGATGGTGAGTGGCGAATGAAATAGTTTCATGATGTGGATTTATAAGTGTGAACCAAATTACTTAATTCTATAATTGCTCAGCAATTCAGCAGTGGTTTTGAGAGTGAGAAATCTTTGATTCAATGGTGTGCTGGTTCAGCAAATCATAAGCTAAATTGGATGAAGTGTCAGGTGGGATAAGATAACAAAAAGCTAAAGCAGATGCCACAATTTTTATTGGAGTTAGCTTTGAAGCTTAGGTTGCCAAAAAAATTCCAGCATTGCTAGCTGAGCTTACCTTTGAGTAGTTGAGAACGAGGTTGGCTCAAAATCAGGACAGATTCAACCAAACGTTTTGAGTAGGAATAGCTTAACAAAGTGGGTTGGAATTCTGTTTCCTTGTTTGGGTTGAGGTCTTTTTGAACATTGAAAGCTCACTTATACCTAAAATAAGTTTAAAAAGTACGATGGCATTCATTCTAGAATTAATTCAATTAATTCAAATAATTATTTTTAAAACATGATTAAACAAAATTTGAATTCAAATCTCTGTATACTAACAATCCTATTCATGTCCTCTGAATGAGACATCATGGTAAAAAAGAAATCCCCTTTAACAGTTTCACCAAAACCGGAATGCAGCGCAGCTACAGTAATCAACAAAATTTACATAAAATTTTATTTTTTATTAAAAATTAATAAATTAAACTTTTAATTAAAAATTTTAAATCTGATAAATTAATAAAATTTAATATAAAAATTATTATATAAAAAATAAATTAAAATAATTATTTATAATAAATTTTATTGACACTTATTCAAGGTAAAAAAAATTCTATCATTATTTTTATTAAAAATATCTATTTAATAAATATATCAAAATTTATTAAAATATTTTTAAATTTTGTATTATTGATATATTTAATAAATTTTCTGAATTGATCGGTTTTTATTTTTTATTTTAATTTTAATTAATTTATTTATTATAAAAAATTTTACAAATTTCAGCCTTTTTTTCCACCAGGTTTGCGAGGCTGGAAAAGGTCAAAGAAGAATGCTGCTAACAAAGGTTTATTCGGGAATCCAATTTCCTGGTATCCCATTTTGACACTATTGCAACCCGATCTGCCCTTTACAAACTTGGCCACCATCCTTTTTTTTTTTTTTAATTAATATAGAGCATTAAGCAATCAATTTTGAACAAGGGCAACTCAATTTACGTACATCCTTTTCTGAGTTTCTCCCCCCCAAAAAAAAAGAAGAAAAAGCGAGAAAAAATGAGAAAGATAAGAGAAAATAAAAATGAAAGAAAGTCCTGCACATAAGAAAAGGGACTTTTCATATACTTGTACTATGAAACCCTGAAACATTACAGTTCATCTCTTTCTCTTCTTACAAGAATCTAGTAAAGGCCAAAAACGTCGAAATAATAACGAGTCTTCATCAGGTAAAAATTGAAGCTTGTGGTGACCAAGCTTATCTATGTGCAGTGACCAAAGTCTCAATGAACCTTAAGCCATCAAACCTCGGTGCAAATTTCTCAGTTGAAGCTGATTTCTTAATTGCAGAATTTTCATGTTCTTTCTTCTCCTGCAAAATTATACAAATCATCTGTAAATTGAAATTTTGAAAAATTAAAAGAAAAAGAAAAGATGAATAATTTTATTTTCTACGAACTAATTAATA